GAAAGCATAGAGGTGCAATGCTACAAGTAAAGCGTAGGAGTTGAAACTACTGAAAAACTTCTTGTGGAGGTGAACATAACATGAGTTTTGATAATCACTCTCGACCAACTCTGAAAGCATTGTACTCAGGTATTGCGGACGTGATTTCCATCCTCACAAGTTGCTTCCACCGTCTCAACCGTCAACTTTCCTTGGGTCCAGAGTACAGGCTGGTTGTCTCAATTGCTGTAGTTCTCAGTGGGACCACCTTTCTCACTCACATGATCGGAAATATGATCATCACTATCAACCGCTATTCTGCACTTTGCCTCGCCAAGAGGTATAATGAGGTAAGTAGTTCTATAGAATACGATATTCAACGTCACTGATGTTTTGTTGTGAAAATTGTAGGTAGTTTCTCAGCAGAAATGAGTTGATTCTAAGATTGTGGAGTCCCCCTTTGAAAAAAAAAACCAGAAGTTTTAGGTATGCCTTATTATGTGCTAGGGCTTCCGCAATTCCGATCGGGCCACTTGCCCGCGGCTGTTTGCGGTTGTCTTCCACTTTTTAGAATGGTCTTCAAAGGCTTCATTTTTTACTTGTGCAGCGCGGATACCTGGTTGACAGGCTGTACGAGTGATCTCATGAACAATGGGCATGGCGCACTCTTTTCAATTCATGGATCACTACCGGTGTTGTCTAGTCCAAGAAATATCTTCAAAGGTAATCCACAAATCGGCTGTCCCGAGACTCTTAATTCCTACTCTCAACGCGGCGATTTTGAAAAGGAGTGCGGCACACTTGCCTTGTTTGGCAGAGCGCCTTTGGTACCCAAGAATGGCAGTTCACTAACATTTCCTTGATCTAGGAAAGATGTGGAAGATTGGACCGCATATGCTGAGCTCGCACCTATTTCAAAACTCACCTGAATTGTCATGATTCTCATAAATCCTCGTCGCGTACACGACCACAAATCCAGCAAAGTAAGAGACAGTTAGAAGAGGAAGCTCCATTTTCACATTCAACATAAACGGCAGCGTCTTTTTTCCCAAAAAAGCGGGGGCTACGAGAGCCTGAATCCTACCCTGGAATCTGATTCGTGATAGGGTGCAATAGGAGCTCTCTAATGGGAGCTCCTGCCGCCTATTACTAAACGTGGGGATTAACTGCTCCGCTTGAAGAAATAGTATTTCGAAATTTATGGACCAAATACATGGTAAAAGGAATAAAGCGGATACAATGTTATTTTACTATCAACTGTAATCTCCAAGTTCTCCCTTCTTGTAACCTCGGCATGATGTCGAATATTTAGTTATTTCTGCCAAACGAGGTTATTAGATAGAACCTTTTATTGGCCCGACGTTTCGACCTTCTCGTCTTCTTCAGAGGCCGAGGTTCCACCGTGCGGAGCCTAGCTCACGCTATGTGTCAGTAGTGTAAGTAAGGACGAAAGTCGGTAGATGTGACGCTCGTTCTCGAGCTTGCAGCTTCTTCCTGACGTGTTTGAAGTGAGCGGCTTTTGCAACAGCCACAGCCTTCTTTGCTGCACACGTAGCTTCCTGGTATCCCCGCAGTTGTCAGCGGACTTGTCTCCGAGAAACAAGTGATAGCGCCTCTTCTTCTGCAAAACTTCACTCTCACTTCGTCTGTCCACATCCATGCCTGCTTGTCGATCCTTCGCCTTACAGGCTTTGTTGTGCCGAAGCAAGCGGTGTGAGCTATGGCTTCAGCAGCATTTTCTCAGTTCCTCCTATTCTTTCGAATGTCAGCACCTAATTCTCTCGGAACCACATCGTTCGATTTGCTTCG